GGGGGGGGGGGTCCAGACACACTGTGTGGTAGAAAGAAACAAAAAAATAAAACACACAGAAGACCCTGCAAGAGTCCCCAAAGGCAACCTGATGACACTGGACAACATGAAGCCCGAGCGAGGTATGTGGAGCACCAGAAACACACAGACACATGGGGTGGGCTTTGATGGTCAATGTGTGGGCGAGCTGTGCAGGTCCAGCTTTACTGGACTGACTGTACCAGCTCCTCTGAGACAAGAATCAGGCCAGGGAATTACGTAACAGCTGGTCAGCCTGGTCACCGGTTATGTGAATTAACAAAGCCTGACCCGAGTCAGCGAGGACGTGTACATGCAACACGCATTAGCTGCTCCAGTTCTGGATGTGAACGTGGATGTCAGCTGTTTTCTTTTCCCCATTTTTACATCACCACATAACCTGAAGCATCATCTCGTGCCGAACGCTGTTCCCTTTTCCAGTAGCTCTTGTTTTGACAGTCTCTTGCACGGTGCTGCTGCAAAATGTTCTTGACACCCACCCTGTTGTGGAAATAAGGCTCTTGCCGTATGCTCTGCAACCTGTTTACATGTCGCTGTATCTGCAGCAAGAGGTAAAACAGGGACGGAGGGGACACCTTGTTTGTTTCAACCTGATTATGCTAATTTCACTGTGGCATTAATTTGTAAAGGGTATCTCAGTACTTTAATCTCTGCCCAGACACAATCAACATTAGGTGTTGTGTAAGCTCCTTTAGTGTACAAGCTCAATGATTCACTCTGTGATTGATTGGACATGGTTGTTTGTGATCCAGGGGAGCTGGTGACTTGATCTGTTGTCAACAACAACAATAGCACCATACTTGGAGGCAGTGAAGGACCGCTGTTCTCAGTCATGGTGAGCTTAGCTGCAGTCAGTCAGGGATAGTCGGTGTGTGTGTGCAGGTTATGAAACTGCAGTCAGGCTGCTGACCGGCCTGAGTGGGCTCTTCCTCAGAGCACAATATGCTGCTAATGGGAGTTCACAACAAACAATAAACATGGGCCCTACATGGGCCTGGACCGTTAACCCTCGCCTCTCCTTGTCTGCAGGACCCTCAGCCTTTATATAGACGCACTGACCCAGACATCTGTGTGATGTGTCTGGCCAGAGTAAAGGGCACACTGACCAGCAGTGTACAGTGTAATTATAGCCTAATAATGCAGCTCAGCATTCAGGGTCAGCTGTGAAGAGTCAACACGGTGCTGTTGTATATTGTAGTGTTGGTTGGGATATTGAGGTTTACCAAAATACATGTTGCATGTATGCCTGCCTTGTATCAGCCACGAAGAGTGAGAACCGCTGTCCTGAGTTACTTCCACACGTTTGTCACCCTGTCATGTTGTAATTATGAAAGCTGGTGCCAGTAGAAGCTGCTCCACAGCAGCAGCTCCCTGTTTGACTGGCAGACACTGTGGGGCTATTGTTATTTGGAACATACTGTACCGTTCCTCTTGTGGAGATACCAGATTGCTTATAGCCCAGATGCCTTCCTCCTTTTGCCTTTCTCCTCTGCCTGCTCTCAGAGAAAGGCACTGCGGCGGTGAGAGGAGGTGTTCACTTAGTAGCCTGGACCAAAGGGAGGTCAAGTTGAGCGCAGGACGGGCGCTTTGACTGCTCTGTTGCTGGATCGAAGGTTGTTAGGAGAGCAAGTTTGAAGGGGAGAGCTGAACAAGTCCAGACATGTTCATCTAGCACTAAAGCTCCTGCAACAAGTCTCTCAGGACGTGACCTCCCGATCAGGTGGGTGTGAGATGTCAAGCCGAGGCTTTGGGTGCGTGATGAGGTGATGAATGTGGCTGTTCCCTGGATTACCTTGGCTCTCGCTCCACCTTCAGCACCTTGAGAGAGGTATCGAATCAGTCTCTGTGCCGACGTTCATGAACAGGTCCCACAGCAGGCTGATGTGACCGATACAAACACAATTTAATTATGATTTTGTATGAATGTCCCCCACGTACACTGAAGTGAGGTTAGAGCCTCATATTAGAAGGAATGGATGAATTAATGGTCCCAGTTAGTTCAATGCTGTCAGCTAATACATAGTTAAAACTAGAGAACAAAAAGGAGCGCTGGCCTCAAGTGTATCCCCTAAAACCCTGAGTGTCATCGTTGGTGTCCAAAGAAGAAAAAAGAAATCATTTAGACTTCACATAGATGAGTGGAATCTTCCTCCTGTTCGTGCAACGCGTCTTTGTGGTGCTTTGTAAACCATGCTTTTGTTGTAAAGGGAGAAGACTGTTCTCGGGGGGGCCTAACCAGAGTCATCTGACCCCCTTGTTTTTCTGGGAGTTTGAGCTGTGAGTCAGGATGGCGTGTACGAGTGTGTGCGGCTGTGAGGAGAGAGTGAGTGTGGCACCGAGTACGCAACAGATTGCTGCTGGCCCTAATGAGCGCTGTACCGTTGAACCATGTGGCTCCACCGACAGCTTTTACAGGGAAAACTCAGGACCTGTTTACACCAGTGGGGGAAGACCCGGCCTGTCGTGTCGGGTTTCGAACCGTTTCAGCTAAAATGCGGTTAAGATGGGTTTTATTTGTATCCTTACAAACATTGTGTTGTAGTGTGTCGTCTCCACATATAGTGGGCCAAAGTTTGAGTCGAGAACCACATTGGAATTGTTTGTGCTCAGCCGTGGTCCTCTTCACAGCCCAGTCACAGTAGGGACAGTACAAATAAAAAGAAATTGCATTAGGTGGTGAAATGTATGAGCAAAGAGCTAAGAATGGCGACTGCGCGCCTCCTCCTTTATGGCCTCAACCGCAGCTCTCCTCCTCCTCCTCCTCTCCCTCGTTCAGGCAAGTTAAGCAGCACACAGAGAGATGACCTCAGAGCTCGTCATGCTGGAGAGACGCCGTCAGCTGGCAAGCCTCAGCGCTGCGCTCCCGCTCCCTGTAATGTTATGTGGTGTGTTTGTTTGGTGGTGCTTCCTGTTTGGAGCCATTAGTCCTTTAAGGAGGACTCGAGTACAAGTCCGCCCCCCCCCAACTCACTGCACTGTCTGCCTGCTGCCGTGCGCTCAGCCAGATTACAGCTGCCCTGAGACGTCCCAGCCACATGCCAGTGGATCAGAGTATACACTCTCACTGAGCAGAGACCCAGACAACGCAGAGCGACACACACTGTTGTCCCGTACAACACCTGTCTGGTCCTGTGTCGTCTTTGCCCCCCCCCCTCGCCGGTGATTTACCCCACAGGCAGCCACAACAGGTGCTGTCTTCTGTTTGACTCATCTCGCACAGTTGGAGTCCATCTGTATATATGGTTTTTTCCTTTTCTTGATTGACTCGTTTGTTCTTGGTTTTTTAAGTAGTGCTGTCTTTTTTTATCATTATTATTATTCCAAAACCCACCCTGTCATTTTGTCATTATTTATTTTGTGTATGAACATTGCACAGCAGAAACAGACGCATAGAAAAAAAAACTTAATTGAGATTAATTTCCTGTTAACGCATACACAATCTTAGGTATTAATTTTCTCAGCTAATTTAGGTCAACATGAGTGTTTCGTCATATTGCCTTTTCAATACAACATCACTGCGATTTGCTGACCCAGCTGCACTGAACATGGATATTGGACTCCCCATTGTACAGCGAGATTCAGGGCTGCCTTTCGCAATGAATACCAATACTGGGTAGGCATTCAGCTGTGAGTTACTCTCCTGGCCCCCGGAGTAATCAGCCTAAATCAATGCTGTTGTGACAGCTTTGACTGTAAGTAGCCTTGCCTAGCCGCTGCACCCAGTCCTCCCAGTCCAGCAATGCTCTTACATAACGCTGGGACAATTTATTTAGCACACCAACACTTTAACAGCACACATATAGAAGTGTACTGCCCTATATATATATATATATATATGAGGTATAATATTTTATAGTATATTTATAGTATGAATATATTATAGTATATATGCAAGTGAGCTGTTTCCACATGCACAGAAAGAAAACCATGAGTTTATATTTAGTGCAGCTACTTTGTGTTAAAGGCTGTATGGACACACGGACATACACCACCCAGACTTAGTGCCGGACTGGCTGAAGGTGAAAGAAGCAGCATGGGTCATATTTCTGCTGCCAGGGTGCCACTGAGCAAGTGATGTCATTTGCTTGCGTGTTCGTCACATCGTCCCGTCCCCGTGGCTCCTCATAGCCAACCAGCAGCCAGCACTGCAGGAACAGGAAGAGCCATCTGGACCTGGTGGTTTTCTCATGGTAGGGTGGATTGTGGAGGGGACAATGTCTCGTTCTCGCTCTGTATTTCAGTTTCTGTGTCTTTTATTCTTGTCTTCTATCTTTGGCACATTCATTTCGTCTTGGGTTGTGTCTCGCTAACATGTTATAAAACAGTGAGATTGTTAACTTAGCGTGTGAGATTTTAGATTCATGTTGAACACATTAACAAGGGTAGTAAAATGTCCAAACATGTTTTTTTTTTTTTTAAACAAAGTGGCCGAAACTCTGTAATACGTATATTTGGATTTCATCTCCGTGATCTATTAAACCCTTGTACTATCTATACTGCAGCCTTCCTTCCACTCTGGTATCGGTACCTGATGTGACATAAGTAGACCTAAGTTCTGTGGGAGTGGGACTCGCACGCCTCTCTCAGAAACCACATACTGAAGAAAAACACAAGCACTCCTGCCTGGCACGAATGTTTTAAGTATTTCTTTGTCATGCTTCCACCATGTCTGTTATTTTTGTAACGGAGAAACCAAAATGAGAGCTTCTTGTTTATCTCAGCAGTGGTTACATAGGAGTATTTTAGGGGATTTGTCAGGAGGAAAGACCTTGTTCAGGCAATTCTTTGTGACCTTGCAATGAATCAACGTTCCCAGTCCCCGCTCCACTGCTCTTCTTTTACCTATCCTATCTCACCCTTCCTCTCTTTTTCTCTCCTGTCATCTGAGTCACATAGGCTTCAGCTTCGGTAACACCTCAGCACTTAACACCTCCACCACCACTATCTGCTGAAAACATCGAGACAAAAAGCATATTGACAGAAAAAGAGCTAGGTTGACTTACTGTCTGTAACACAAGAATGAAATCTGTGATAGTAGGGCCTCACATATTCATCGGTATACTGATTGCTTGACAAAGACATT